GATTATGTCGATCGTTCACTTAGGAAACTTCAACCTAGGCAGTTTTTTCGTTCATGTTGAAAAAATACTTCTACTCAAAAATATTGAACTAAAACTAAGGCGGATTTTTGCATAGAGACCGGATCGCGAAAGAATACGACAAAATAAACGATTCCATAAACGAAAAAACTGCCTAGGTTGAAGTTTCCTAAGTGCAGTTTTGTTTTATTTTTAGACGTTTTTGTATTTAACCTTCATCAATTATCACTGTTATCTCCTTCCTGATAAAAGATAAGTGATGACTGTTTGCGGCAAAATTGTAGCTTTCAATGGGAATTTTTTGCTCCGTCGCATATGGGGCTCGAGTTATGGGAGAAACAACGAAAAAATGACAAAAAACCCGTATAAATGTATAGAAAAATATCAACTTTTCCCACTGAACATTTTGTTATTTCTTTTTGGGAGGATTCCTAGGGGGAAAGAACTATTGGTATATTTACTTCATTGACACGTATTGAAAATTATTCACAGGCATTTGCACTGCGTTCCGTAGTGTTATTGTTGTTGTTTTTTTCTGTTGCTTCGTCTCGTTCGTGGCGAGCAGGAATGACAGTTGCAACCACGCACATTTTATTGACCATATTTGCATGCATTCGCAGCTAGTTATTTAGCGCATTGACACGCATTGACGCGTATTGATCCAAACTCGGTAGTATATGCGATTATTTACAATATTTATATTTTCATTTACTCAGTTCTTTCCCCAATGAGGATTCGAATTCTGCGGCTTAAAAAACCATAAAAATGGCTGCTTTGAACAAAAATTTACTTTTGGTGTAAAAATACGTGGGAAAATATGATTTTTTCCGATACGTGAACACTACTACAAAATGTAAGTTCTGAGATTATTCGATTTTTGTCTTCAGCATAGTCAATTTTAAGGTAATTTGAGGTGTTTTGGAACCATGTGGGTGTATGCATTAATTTTAAAGAATTTTTGAGTTCATAGATACATTTATTAAAATAATAAAATGAATGAGTACATTAACCAATGTATTCGCCATCGTTAGCTATGACTTCTAGCCATCTTTCAGGCAGCTTGTTGATTCTTCGCTTGAAGAAGTCCTCGTCTTTTGAGGTTATATAGTCATCAACCCATTTTCGCACTTCTTCCTCATTTTGAAAGCGTACTTCAGACAGGGCAATCTGCATCGATCGAAATAGATAGTAGTCGCAAGGAGCAAGGTCTGGAGAGTACGCGGGCTGATCAAGCCGATCCCAACCGAGCTGCTCTACCTTATTTTTAACGATTGTTGCACGATGTGGCTTAGCGTTGTCATCGTGGAACAAAACATTGTGGTGTTTTCGAGCTATTAATGGCCGTTTTTCATCCAATGCATGAGCCAAATCATTCAATTGGCGTCGATAGCCGTACAGCGATAATTTGCGACTATGAAATCGGTTAACTTTTCAATTCTATGGGCGCTGCCATATTGAAAATTTACGTGCGATATGGTGCACGCACTCATTAGTTCCACTTATTTTAATAAGGAATCTCTATAGGTGGCGCTGCCACATCGTCATTGACATCGAGTCAAATATTGTCAAATATAATAACATTGTTTATATAGGCTTTTATCGCAGTACGTCGATAGCGTTCCTTATTAATCGTTTGATCTGGTTTTGGCAGCTCATAATACACGACTCCTTTCATATCCCACCAGATGCACAGCATAACCTTATCGCAATGAATATCTCGTTTTGGCTGGGATGGCGCCGGTTGGCCGATATCAACATACGCTGCTTTACGCTTGGGGTTTTTGTAATAAACCCACTTTTCATCGCCGGTAAAAATTCGATATAAAAAACTGTGTTTTTTGTGCTCTGCAAGATGTTTTTTGCATGTGACGATCCGTGCTTTGCGCTGCTCTTCAGACAGTTGATGTTGAACCCACTTTCCCAGCTTGCGAATCTTTCCCATTGCATGCAAACGTCTGGAAATGGTTGCTTGGTTTACGTTCAACTCCAATGCAAGTTTTTTTTGCGTTTGACATGGATCTTCATCCAATAATGCTTGCAATTCGTCTTCTTCAAACTTTTTTGGTTGACCTGACCGTTCTTTGTCTTCCACGTTAAAATCTCCAATTCGGAAGCGTCGAAACCAGTACTCACATGTACTAGACGATGGATCATTAGAGCTACCATAAATTTCGAAAAGCAAACGATGACTTTCAGCAGCAGTTTTCTTCGAACTATAGAAGAAAAGTAAAACTTCCCGCAAATGCTGTTTTTTCGGCACGTATTTTGACATGATTGTAAGTGAAAAAAATTATGTTGTTTACGCTTTGGTAAAATAACACCTACTGAAAACTAATGTCAAATGATGTGGATTCACGTGAATATAGTTACAGTATGGCCCGATGCGTTATAGTACAAGTTACGCCATCTGTAGTGGAAATTCTTTAAAACTAATGCATACACCCAATATTTTCGCAATATGGCTGAATTTGTTGAAAAAAAACCATGTTTTTGTACTAAAACTTTTTTAAAAAGCAACATTAGCTAATTTTTGACAATAACGAATGCTATGTCACCAGATGACTAAAAATGCTATGTCACCAGATTTGAATAACCTATGGGTTTTCTATCAATATAAATGTTGAAAAATAGGTCAAAAACAGCCATTTTAAGTACGGCTCTATCGACCACATGATTTTAACATTTTTTTTATCTGAAAAAGGGAATCAGCTAGTTTTGAGCTCAATTTAATTTTAAGCTATTGGAAGCATATACCTTACCATGATAAATCAGTTTGGACCACCGTAGTATGCATATTTGAAGTCCCAACATAATCAATATTTTCACCAAAACGGAGAAATACTTCGTGTATTTTGTTGTCGATTGAAGCAAAGTATATCAATAGCGCCGCCTAACATGATGCGACGTTGGATGCGACGTTTGCACGAATCAACATCTCTGTGTACAACGCACACATAGACTCTTCGCATTCACACGAACGTACACATAAAGACTTTACTTTCACACAAACGTATAGTTACAGAAATTTGTGGTTGGTGGCGCTCCCAACAAAGTTTCCACAGCAGTTCCAAACGTCAAACATTGTTAAAGCATATGAGATAGCTACTGTTGATTTTCACAAAGTTTGGAAAATATAATGAATCAAAACAAGTGAACAAACTGACAAATTTGGAAACGCATATCGCAGAATGATCAACGTTTTTGATTTAGTACGAGTTTAAGATCGATGGTCAAGAAAATGCATATTTCGATGTAGTATTGAACACTTCTTCCAAGACCACAGTCTGATTATATGACAACTTTTACAACTGAAAAAAATGGTCACAAATTTCCGTTTGCATCCACTCAAATGAGAGAGTTTAATCAATTTCATAAATTTCTGCGCGAAAAAAGAGAGAAAAGGAGAGCAAAATGGAATATTGGTAACGACACAATTGCGAATGAAATACGATGGCAAAAAGACAGCTGCCCAGGTGAACGCGATAGGCATTGATCAAAGCCTACAGTCGTTCGATGAGGCTTCCATAATTTGTATGTACATTTTAAATACCGAACGCCTAGGCTTTCATTGCTATTCTCACTTCTTTCGTGCATTCGTAGCAATGGACGCCTAGGCGTTCAGGTGTACGTGAAACACAGTACGTTAGTGTGAGTGTGACACCCGGTATCGGCTTCGAGCTGAGCTGTGTACGTTTCACATACAACTGAACGCCTAGACGTTCATTGGTACGAATGCACGAAAGAAGTGAGAATAGCAATGAAAGCCTAGGCGTTCGGTATTTAAAATGTAAATACAAATTATGGAAGCCTCATCAAACGACTGTAGGCTTTCATCAACGCCTATCGCGTTCACCCGGGTGTATATTAGAAATAAAATAAAAAATTTCGTACACAAATGTTGAATACAAACAATGGGTAAATAGTTGCATAATTTTTGTTTTTATTGATGAAATATGTAATGATATTTTCCGTTGATAATTTTTTAAATAACTTTTGTTTTTTTTAATGTTTCTCCTTAAAACTATTACTGGTTTTGTGGGTTTGTGTTTTCGATTTTACATAGAATATTTCACATTGATGATCCATCGGTTTTAGTTCTCTTTTTTCTGTGTAATGAACGAACAGTAAATAATCTTTGCCTAATCAATCGCATGGAATAAATAGTAAACAAATAAGCAAGGGATTTTCTTTCGTAGTGAAGTGAGATGAGGGTGTTCTATTGTAACACAAGAAAAAAGATTTTTTTTAAAAATAACAGGTATACAATCATTCGCTAAAATGAACTTAATCAATGACATTTTCTCAACGCAACACTTTTTCTTGGCTACTTTTGTTATGCAGATTGTGTTTGCCCTTGCAATCGTTGCCAGCTTTTCTGATCATGAAAATAGTAAACAATACAGCGGCACCTGGGGACTAAGTGCAATGTGTCATACTTTCAACGTTTGAACTAACACAGACGCATACTTGTTACAGAAAACTATGTGCATGACTCTCTATTTTTCCAACCAGTCGCCAGGTGCCGCTTTATTGTTCTTGTTTGACGTTTCCTATCTATTTGTACAGACAATCAGAGAGACTGATCGTTGCTAACTAAAAAACCTGTTCGTTACAAATTTCCATTGAATTTTATTCAAAATAACTCATTGAAGTTGCGCATAGTACGTGAGAGGAAAACTTAAATTTAAAGGAAAATTTCGGAATTTATTTTAGATAGCTTTTGAAGCGTTTAAACATAATATAAAATTATCACGATTCTCTTAATTAATACATATCTAAAGTTGTTGTTTTCTTTCTGCATTTTGTTTGTAATCGTAGTAACCAAGCACTCAACAGCGATTCCTTCTCGCTGTTCATTTTTTGTTTCTGTTTCTCTCAAGCTTACAACTACAACATGTTCATCAGGTGAATTTTGATTTGATATTAATTTCTTTGTTTGTTTTCTTGCTTACATTTGTAATACTTTAAACTTTTTGTTTTCAATTTGAATTTAGAAGCTAAGGAGTTCGTGTTGCCCATAACACGAATAACAATATAGAATTTGCATTTGGTTTTATTTATAAAAAAAAAACGGGTTAAATGTCGAATTTACTTTTACATTTGGTGCTCAGTAAATCAGAATCGTTATTATTTTTTGCCGATTTATAACTGAGACTGAACCATTGGCCAAACCGTTAGCGCTCATCGGCCGGCCCAATATAGCGTTCGAGAGAGAGATATAGAGTATGTTGATGTATATGTATGGAGATTGTTTGAGTTTTCTTTGAATTATCTGAACACGAAGGAAGTTGCACGGTTTTAAGATGAAGCGTTAAAAACCTAATTTCCATCCGGTTGATGCGGAGTTTCATTTAATAATGAGAAGAAAACGGTATATATGTGTGTAGCTTTAATCTAATCATTTGATTTTCGTATGAATCCATTTTGCGGCTATGACACTAACGTTGCTGCAGTTCAAAAGTCTGTACAAAAACTGGATGAAATTAGCAAAAAACGATAGCAAAAAGGAGGTTCGACAGGTAAAGTATAAAAATTGATCTAATGAAATGTAAAAGTATCAAACATCATTAGGTTTGCTGTACGCACATTCATTCATTCGTCATCGTCGTCATCATCATTATACGGTCGATTGATTGTTTGATTCCCTACTAATACACACACCTAAACTATTGTGACCATTATTGCAATCATTCTCAATCCGCGCCATCAATTCCACTTTCTTCTGTTGCACCGTCAGTAGTTCTTCGCTTAGATCGTTACATATCGTAATTAGAGATTGATTTTGCTCTTTCAAGTGGCACATAACATCACTCAAATTTTTGCTATCGTTTTTATGCAGGCTAACAAGACGCGAATGTGGTTCGCCAATTGATTTCGAGGCCAATGAGTCGGGCGGCGAAGCTGAGTCACGTGGCGTCGGTTTTCGATACACCTCAAATGCACTCGATCTTTGTGACGACTGGAACGAGGGAACGATCGGCCTTGGCGGAAGCTGCAAACCATCATCATTTTCCAATGACTGCGGCTGATTTCGTGATGCCTGTTCAGAATTGAAAATACGACATTAATGAATCGTGTACATACGAATTTAATGCAATTTTTCAATCGGTCAAATTGCCAGAATGTTCAACTTACATCAGATCCAGATTCTGGGAATTGTGTGAAATCGGCGAATGGCGAATTGCCAGTTTCTAGTTGAGCATCGAGACTTGCTTGTGCGGTCATGTGTGGTGATACTCGAGGTGGCACCTTCAATTTTAAAAATGTGCAATAAATTATAATTAGAACTATTTTGCAATTGAAAATTAGTAGAGCATGCAATAAGCTCAATTAGTGAGTGTTTCATACCTCTGGAGGAACTGGTGCATTTAATTTCAGTTTATTCAAATCCAAACTGCTGCTTCTAGCATGTTTCTGAGGTCTGCAAATGAAGTGAGAAATGAACACTTATTAGAAACACACACACACACACACAGTCAAATCGAGACGACACAAAGACACAAAGACGGAAGAAAGAAGAATAAAAGTGAACAAAAGCGAAAGCCTACGTAAGGCTTCTCTCAAATACCAACCTTGGTGGTGGTGGCGGAGGTACTTCTTGCTTCTTCATTAGTGTGGGAGGTGCATTGTCAGTTGTGTCATTGTTGTTCAATGCTATTGATTCGCGTTGTGGTGGCGGTGGAATAGCGCCGATGCTGTTTTTATTTTGTATTTTCTTCGGTTGTGGCCGTTGTATCGCTCGCAAATCATTCTGTATGCCCGAATCACGTTGAACGGCATATTGCTTTGGGCTTGATGTATCCGAATCTCTGATTGTTATGATGCCTCCTTCGTACAAATAATTCTCCGATTTACGTTGATAACTCAAGCGATTGGCATCGTCGTCATTGTTATCGGCCGTGACCGGAGTGATTCGCAACGGAACTGGATGTAAAATCTGTGGATCTGAGCCAACCGCTTGTACAGTTCTTTGCATATCGAAATTGACTGGTTTCGGTCCGGGGCTTGACACACTTGATGTTGGTGATTCCGTGAATTTCGTCCATTCTTTACTACTCTGATTGATCCACTCTTTTGACGAACTGATTTTATTGGATTTTGTTGGCGATATCTCCAGTTCGTTAATTGGTGAACTTGAGCTGGTACTACCTTTGTTGCTGTTATTTGGATGCGGAATTTTCGGTTGTATCGTCGTCGGTCGACTGTTTCCTGTATGGCTTCCTATTAAATTACTTGGCTGCTTTTTTTCGGTTGCCTTGAACGATGCATTGTGTGCATCGGCATTACCTAATGAACCGTCCACACGATCCCTATCCTCGTCATCCAAATGAAGAAGATCCGCTTCGGCCGGCAGACATGATTCGAAAAATATGCTGCTTGGAATCAAACATTCCGGTAGAATTGGTGGCAATGGGATATTGTTTCGTCGTGCCACAACCAAATGCATGGCGGCCGCAAATTCGGGCAAACTCAATGCACCATCTTTGGTTACGTCACACAGTTGCCAAATGTGTCGAAGCTCTTCCACCGGAATGCGTGATTTTTCGAAAAATACTTTGGCTGCCTGCCCTGATATGAGACCCTTCAAATCTGGTTGAATCGTTCGAAACTGTTTGATGTAGTACTCCTTTTGTTCGGGTGTTATTTGATAAACGGCTTCTAAATCGACATCGTTATCCTCTTCGCTGCTGTGTCGATCGGAAGACTCCTCTTCGGTGCCAAGTAATTGAGTTCGTTCCTCTAATTGACCTTGCCACAATGCATTTTTCGCCCAAGGTCGTTCGGCTACACTGTTTGTAGGCGTTGGCGAATCACTTGCCGTACTCCATGCATCGGGTGAACCAGCTCGACGCTGAAAAATAAATATGCACACGCACCATAAATCAATTTATTCACAAAAATAATTGAGTGAGCCGATCTTCTTAATTGCCATATGGTGCGCGATAATGTTGGCATTACTCACCGTGTTTGGTTTCTTTTCCGTTTCATTCTGTTCGACTTCTGAGTCAGTGCTGGTAATGTCTGAATTGGCGATATCACTTTGTGCATCAGCTCTGGCTAATTCAATGAGATATGGACTGCGATCACTGCCCGATCGCCATCGATTCACATCGTTCACTATGCCATTCAATGCCTCCGTACGCAGTTGAACGGGTGATTCGTTCCAACTAAATTTGGGTAGTGGCAATGCAATGGTCGACGCAATCAACTCCTGCCGCAGTTGAATTGCACTTTGATGTGCAGCAATCAATTTAAGGCATGAATAAAACTGTACTTTTGACATATACAGAGCTGCTTGCGGAATATTCGCCAGTGACATAATCTACAATAATTAAAATGCAAATGAATTAATCCATTTAGAATTGTGCAGTGTATTCTGCCATATTGTTTGGATGCTAATTTTATTGCGCCATGTTTTATGGCACACAGTCAACAAACACAGTTTGCACACAAATGTGTGGAACGAATGAGAAAAACAAACGTACGTTTTTGAGAATGTCATCCGATATGTTTGACGAACGAAACATTTCAGTGGCTTTAAGCACGGGCACTTTGCCCGTTTTTTCAATATCACAGCATGCAAATAAATCGGAGAAATATCGTGATTCGAGTTCGGTAATATTCACTTCTTCCATGTTTTACACTTGAAAATTTGCTTGCGTCCGAATAAATAAATCATTCACTCCACAGTAACAATTGTAAAACGAGATTTTGGTAAGTGTGTGTGCGTCTATTTCTCTTATTTTAGATCTTGGATAATAACTCTTTTTTTTTTGTTCCTTTCGTTTTCGTGTATTCGAAAACACACACAATTCGTGCACACGTCTTAGTTTTGATTACTTTAGATTTTCCACGGACAATTTTCGTTTTCCACCCAACATCTGCGTGATGTTATCCAAAACACAGCAAAATTCTGCACGGTTTCTTTTGTTCACTTGTGTTCATCACGCACAAAATGTGTAAAAATCGACAGATTTGACAGCTTTTTTATAGTATTTTTCTTTTACGCCATTATCATATCAACTTGTCGGTCCGTCAATTGATGAAAACTAAATACATTTCATTTGTTCTTTTATTTATGTCATACACAGATGTAAAGTACACACAAATATCGTACGCACACACGTGACGAGCGTTTCGCGTTGCGTGCATGTGTGTGAGAGTGTGTCGATTTTTTGGGGACTGTTCACAATTCGCACATGTACATTCAATTCACACTCATCGCACACAATACTGTATCGACGATGCACAAAACGCTTTCCGTTTCGTTCCATTTAGGGACGATGTTTTAATTGAAATTAAGGCCATTTCAATTGGTCCCTTTTATTTTTAATGCCAAAACGGAATTCGACGATAGGAGAGGTGATAAGTTTTCGAAACGAACGGCCACTGCCGAAATACATTCGATATGTTCACATCTGCATGTATGTTTTTTTTTGGTGCTCCTCGACTGTAGCGTTTATTTTTGGCTTTTGGCAATATATCAAATATTTGGCAGTACGCGAACACTTACTTAGTTGCCAATCAGTTGATATTTTTACGAAAATCAATCGGATAATCGGTTCTCTCGTCAACACTTCAATGGGTTTTAAAAGGTCAATGAATGGCATTGATGCATTCGAATTCATTTTCGATTCAATTCATCCACATATGAATGCATTTTCGACGTTGAATGTTTTTTATTAATTTTGTTCTAGCTCTAATTTCGTTACTCGTTCAAACTACTTCTTTGCATCCACTCGAATTCGATTAATTATTAACGGTGCAATCGCATAATGAAAATAAATTGTACAGAGCCACAACAACATTCAAGTCCATTCTATTTACATTTTGAATTTCGAATTTTCGAACAAATCACTCGTCTCAAATGTCAAACGCTGAAGCGCAAGCAATAAAAAAAAAACAACATAACAAACACCAAACGTCAAATGAATCATGCAAAGTATCATTCACGATTCGGGTAGTGATTAAGAATTTTTATTTTGTGTGATATTTAATTATTATTTATGCGATATTGAGAAAACTACCAATTTTTTTCCTCTGTGTTTTGTAAAGTTTTCCATTGTAAATTGAATTGAAGATAACGTTAGGCCTATGGAGCGTAAAGATGAAGCAGCAGTCGAACGCCAAAAGCTTGTAGACGATGGAGAGGCTGAAAATGATGATGATCAGACAAATATCTCAACAAATGTACCACCGATCAGTGCACCGAAGTCCGTCCAAACACCAAATTCACCCGTTCTAAGCAATCGAGTACGTATACCTAAACTCATCCACTTTTTTTTTTCTTATTGATGCAAACAAAGGCAGTGGAGCCTTGGTTGGTGCATGTTGCACAGGGCATATTAATTGGGCGTGTCATTTTTCTTTGTTTCAGATATTCTCAAGTGGTGAAACAAGTCGAACACAAGACTCTAGCAATTGTTCCGTTATCAAAGGAGCCACCGATCCACCACGGCTTCATTATGTCAACGAAAGAGAACAACGCAAACAGAATGATCCAAAACCAGATAAAAACAAACCACGAAAATTGCCCAGAGGTAAGGAAAAGCGTTATTCAAACCGTTGCCATTCATTGATTTAAATTGCAATTTATTACACACTGAGACATCTTCAGTACAAGACTATTGCGATAGGCAAATTAGTGTCAATTTATTGCTTTGGATTTATTTTATAAGTTAGTAATTGATTTGAGTTATTTTCTTGTCATCATTTATTTAGTCAATAAATTAGTTTTAGTTGTTTTTTGCCTCTTCTGTTGAAGAGTTGTTCATATTATTTTACGTTCGTTTTGTGTTTATTTGATTTGATTTTTTTGTTTGTTTTTGTTTGCTTTGGTCTTTGTTTTCTTTGGTTCATTTCGACAAATAGGCTTACAAAGTAATGTAGATGCACAATCAAGCGCTAGTTTTGACACACGTTCACTCAAACATCATTCATTTATATCAGAAGTACCCGATGTTCGTCATATGGAGAAAGCACTGCTTGGATTGTTAGACGATTTTCACTCGGGAAAATTGAAAGCGTTCGGTGAGTTTAGTTCCGATGATCTGTGTCACCTTTTTTTTCTTTGTCCAAATTTGGTATTAAAACGAAATTCGCAATATTCTATTCTCGTTTATTTGATATTTGATGTATTTCTATTTACTCAATTCATTTTCTCACGCAAAATCTAGGTTTTGGTTGCACAATGGAGCAAATGACGGATATTCGACAGCAACAAGAGAGTCTAGCAAAGCTTCATTTTGAACTTGGCTCTGGTGGTGATCCGTTCAATAGCAAAAATGATCTCAACGCACAGGAAAACATGTCCAAATTGGTTCAGAAATTGGAAAATCTGTCTGTATCAATAGAAAAACTCCATTCAAGCAATACAAACTTATAAATCGCAATTTCCATTGGCAACCGTGTCAAAATGAAAAACCAAAACCAACAACAACAACAACAACAACAAAATATCAAATAGTTCTGCCAACACATCGCGTGTTCAGGCCATTGAATCGCGCGGTTCTTTGGTTGCTTTTATACATGAACCCAAAAAGTGCTAATAATAATTAAGAAGTGTGAGCATCGAATGCAGCTAGCCGAAGATGAATTATGTTTTTATTATTTTTATTGGAAAAAGGAAATTGACAGATTTTTTTTTATTATTCTAGCCCGAGTATTAGTAGGTTATTGAGCTCATATTGACATTAATTTCGTGAATGATTTTTAGGATAGATGAGCCAAGTTCAGACAATGTATTTGGATAACTTCAGCTAGCTAACTGAAAATATCTAGCTAAGCTCAGCGGCTGACAAGTATGCGTTGCGTTTTTTAACGCATTTGCAGTATAAAAACGGAGATGA